TTGCTGCAGTAATTCAGGCAAAAGGAGCCCCAACTAAGTATTGAGTGCTGTACATGCTCATACTTCTCATGTTCATACTTTTCAGTTGGCCAACATTTCTCAAAATCCTTTTTTTGTATTGGTCTTAAGTAATATTCTAATTTTCGGAGGTACTGAATTTGGGATTTTCATTAGTTGTCAGTTTTAATCATCACAATTAAATGAAATAAACATATGAAATATATCAGTCTGTGTGTAATGAATTAATATACTATCCAAGTTTCACTTTTTGAATGGAATTACTGAAATCAACTTTTTGATGATATTCTAATTATATGACCAGCACCTGTATGCTTGAAAATCTAGATATTTGTCCCATCATATTGGTGAGGCATAGCATGTATGTGTGCAGTGGCAGTGGAGGAACGCTTGCTGAAGAAACCGAGCCCCAGCTTCACGGTGTTGTGCCGAGTTGTTCGCAACTCACGAGACCTTCTGATAATTTATCACCATTGATGAACCACATAAAGAATATTTTATCGTTTTTAAATAGCCGGCTACTTGAAATAGACCCGCGGGGAACCGCGACATGCATGTAGTTGACAGCAGCAGTAATGCACGTAAAACTCTGTACAAGACCGGTGAATGACAGGCGAGAGAGAGAAAAGGATTTTCAAAAAGCCTCAGTTTAGCTGGAAATTTACAATGTAAATTGAATGAATAGAGACTGCAGCTCTGTAGCTTCTCAAGATTAAAGCGGCGCTACCGTCTGTTAACCACCACCCCCCACACACACACTCTACTATAGGCAGGACTTAACGATTCTGATTCGACTATGTAAATCCTTAGTCGGGGCCAGCCTACTATGGAGAAAGTATTTGCATGTACTTTGACACATCACCTGGAAGTAGTTTTCAATTACTCATTTCATGTTGGACAGAACAGCAGCACATCGCACTGGAGAGTCTCACGGCAGGTAAGAGTTGCTTTTTACAGTAAAACTTGTTAATTAAATGTTTGATATCTCACAATTTTCTAATCTTTGAAGTTAAATTAATGTGTAGATTATTTTATGGAGTTAAAAACAACTTCACTGTGTTGTTTATTAGGCTCTTTGTAGTCTAGATAAAGTGGACTTCCATCGTTATTTCTAATAATCGTAGCTACTTCACTATACTTTTCTCTCTTGAGGCTAGACGTCTAAAACTGGAATAAGACTTTAAGTCCTCCTCTAGATACTCTCACTCCTCTTTCAGTTCTCCTCCATGCTGCTTTTGTTTCTACTTCCTCCAGCTCACAGGTGTGTCTGACTTATCTCCTTTCATCTTCCCCAACTTCCTTTTTGAAGTTTAAATGAGCTATTCTGTTTTTTTTTGTTTACAGATGTAGTGAACAACGGTGTGGATTTGTGCATTTTATATTGAATAAATTTGGAGCTACTCTAAATTCCTTTCTCCTCCCCAGAGAAGAAGGGGAGGGGTCAAAGTTGCTTTCTCTAAGTGCTAGCCCGACCATAAAACTGGCACCTTTTTGATTCCGAAGCTGATAACGCGGGGCCTGATTGTTAAACTGACAAAGGGACACGAACCAGCCATTGGCATTTCCCTGAACAGCCTATCAAAACTGGCCCCCCCACACACGTTTCGGTGGCAACTGACCTTATTCTTTGTTTTATTACCACATCAAAAAGGAAAACCCTTGTATCACCCAAGTGTGACATGGTCCAGACAGCCGAACTTTGAATGGCTAAGGACTGCAGTCTCCAAAGACTCAAAGCATTTGATTAAGTTTAATTAAATCTTTAGTTACCTGATTACGTTTGCCTCTATTTGAGTAGTTATGTTAACTGTTATTGCTATCCGTTGTTGATATTAGTGCTGAAAAGAAAGTTACTTGTGCAGTGTTTTTATTTTCAGCAAGACACTCCTTCATCTAATGCAATACTATACTCATGTAACCTGAGCTCCCCCAAGTGGACGAAATAAGTATTACATGCCCTCGTCGGAAATGTCGTTAAATGTATAAATATCCTGACCAATAATGTGACAATTGTTTCCTGTTACCAAATGCCTAGAACAGTACAACCGTTCAAACATTGAGGTTCGATTGTGGAAAATATTTGATTATAAGACGTGCAAAGAGATTTCTTTTTAGACATTAAGTTTAGAAAGGCAGTCCCTTGGGAAACCTGAGACGCCCCCTGGGGAACCACGCCCCAGGCAACAAAAGAGTGACACGCGACCTCGCTTCGCTTCTCTTCGCTGTTGGCTCTCTTCCACTCTGCTCGCTGGACGCTTCGGCACGCGTGTGGTGTGCCTCGCCAGGCAACGCCCAGACTCGGCCAGCGAGACAGGCCTTTTGTTCGCCTGAAGCTACACACCTGAAGTGCCGCGACATCGATCTGCCCTTCAGTTTGTTTCATTATCTTTATTTCTTTTGTTTGTTAAAGTTATCAGTCCGTTAAGTTACACTGGACTAATTCAGGAACGACCAAGTTCCATTTTAAGCCTTTTTCGTCGAGCCAACTTCACCGAGGTCAGACCAAGCCACGTGGTCTCGCCAGCTACAACGAAGGAAACCTGAAAACAACCGAACTGCCAGACGGAGGAGGCGTTTTCAATCAGACACGGAGAACCTCGGAGAATCCCAAGCAAAAAGCCAGGATCGGGCAGCTAGCGTGGGACCCGTGCAACAGGCCAAAAGCAGGCTGTCAACAAGCAGTAAGACTTAACACACGTTCTGTGATCAGATGTCCATTTTAACTCCTAAGTTATAGCATTAGTTTACTTTCATTAGCTCTTCTATGCCGTATGAGTCAAATGCTCCCCACAATCGAACCTCCAGGCTCATTGTTCAGCAAATGTTTATGTTCCCTGTATCCAACCATCTTTTTATCACCTTAGTTAGAGAATAAATTCACTGTAATATAATCAAGAGCTGTGTGTGTTGCCTATTTCTAGTTCCTGCCAAGAGAATTGACCCTTTAGGTATGAGACTAACTGACTGATTTAAGATAATTGAGCGATTATTAACTAACTGATCACTAGTAATAATTGTATAATTATTCAAAACTACCTAGAGGTCCGGAGACTCTAGGATTATAACAACTCCGGTGGTGCCCTTAACGAGGAAAATTTTGATTTTATGAATCTTCAATTATGAATTCATAATTGGGTATCAATTCTCATAAATTTATTAAAAGGCATAACTAAAAAATTTTAGGTCTGCTACACAGTACCCATAAACTTTATTTATGCAGCACTTTTCTTAACAAAAACAAATAACAATCATAAAACACCAGAGGATAAAAAAAAGTAAAAATAAAAAAATAGGTACAGTGGGTACGGAAAGTATTCAGACCCCTTTAAATTTTTCACTCTTTGTTTCATTGCAGCCATTTTCCAAAAATCAAAAAAGTTCATTTTATTTCTCAGTAATGTACACTCAGCACCCCATCTTGACAGAAAAAAACAGAAATGTAGAAATTTTTGCAAATTTATTAAAAAAGAAAAACTGAAATATCACATGGTCATAAGTATTCAGACCCTTTGCCGTGACACTCATATTTAACTCAGGTGCTGTCTATTTCTTCTGATCATCCTTGAGATGGTTCTACACCTTCATTTGAGTCCAGCTGTGTTTGATTATACTGATTGGACTTGATTAGGAAAGCCACACACCTGTCTATATAAGACCTTACAGCTCACAGTGCATGTCAGAGCAAATGAGAATCATGAGGTCAAAGGAACTGCCTGAAGAGCTCAGAGACAGAATTGTGGCAAGGCACAGATCTGGCCAAGGTTACAAAAAAATTTCTGCTGCACTTAAGTTCCTAAGAGCACAGTGGCCTCCATAATCCTCAAATGGAAGACGTTTGGGACGACCAGAACCCTTCCTAGAGCTGGCCGTCCGGCCAAACTGAGCTATCGGGGGAGAAGAGCCTTGGTGAGAGAGGTAAAGAAGAACCCAAAGGTCACTGTGGCTGAGCTCCAGAGATGCAGTCGGGAGATGGGAGAAAGTTGTAGTAAGTCAACCATCACTGCAGCAATCCACCAGTCGGGGCTTTATGGCAGAGTGGCCTGACGGAAGCCTCTCCTCAGTGCAAGACACATGAAAGCCCGCATGGAGTTTGCTAAAAAACACCTGAAGGACTCCAAGATGGTGATAAATAAGATCCTCTGGTCTGATGAGACCAAGATAGAACTTTTTGGCCTTAATTCTAAGTGGTATGTGTGGAGAAAACCAGGCACTGCTCATCACCTGTCCAATATAGTCTCAACAGTGAAGCATGGTGGTGGCAGCATCATGCTGTGGGGGTGTTTTTCAGCTGCAGGGACAGGACGACTGGTTGCAATCGAGGGAAAGATGAATGCGGCCAAGTACAGGGATATCCTGGACGAAAACCTTTTCCAGAGTGCTCTGGACCTCAGACTGGGCTGAAGGTTGACCTTCCAACAAGACAATGACCCTAAGCACACCGCTAAAATAACGAAGGAGTGGCTTCACAACAACTCCGTGGCTGTTCTTGAATGGCCCAGCCAGAGCCCTGACTTAAACCCAATTGAGCATCTCTGGAGAGACCTGAAAATGGCTGTCCACCAACGTTTACCATCCAACCTGACAGAACTGGAGAGGATCTGCAAGGAGGAATGGCAGAGGATACCCAAATCCAGATGTGAAAAACTTGTTGCATCTTTCCCAAAACGACTCATGGCTGTATTAGATCAAAAGGGTGCTTCTACTAAATACTGAGCAAAGGGTCTGAATACTTATGACCATGTGATATTTCAGTTTTTCTTTTTTAATAAATTTGCAAAAATTTCTACATTTCTGTTTTTTTCTGTCAAGATGGGGTGCTGAGTGTACATTACTGAGAAATAAAATGAACTTTTTAGATTTTTGGAAAATGGCTGCAATGAAACAAAGAGTGGAAAATTTAAAGGGGTCTGAATACTTTCCGTACCCACTGTATATAAATAAATAAAGTAAATATTAACATGTGTCTCTGCCATAGTATAAATATTTATATATGTGTGTGTTACAGGTAAATGATGGTGTGTGTATTAGTTCCTCTCGTCTTGACTGTCCTCCTGACTGAGACGTCTGCTTCACTGTCATCTTCAGGTAAGAAAAACAGTAAGATGGAGATTCCTGTCAGTCACATTAAAATAATAATGACATTTCTCGTCTCCACAGTGGGTTTGTTCATTATACTGAATAAATATGTAATTCAAATGGCTTTTTCAAACTTAATAATTAAATAACGTGTCAGCAGGGACGGAGCAGGTCTTTTCATGCCCACCTCGGTGGCTCCTGTTTGGGCAGAGATGCTTCGCTTTCTACCCTGTGTGGAGCTCCTGGAGCACTGCCGATGTAAACTGAAGATAAAACACATTTAAGTTTATACAATAGAAGATTCAATGTTACATGGCTTTAATGTGAGTTACTGTTTGTGTGTGTGTGTTAGTTATTGTGCTCTCAGGCAGCTGGTAAACTGGCGTCGCTTCACACACCAAAGGAGAGACAGTTTGTCCGTCTGCTAGCAAACACACACACACCTGTGTGGCTGGGTGGATACCAGGAACAGCAGGTATGGTGTCTGTGTCAGCGTGCTGTGCTCTTGTTCTTATATCAGGACTTTATTTAAACAAACCCTCTCCAGTGGAGGAGAAAGCACTCAGATCCTTAAGCAACAGAACTAATACCACATTTAACATACTGTGTTCCAAGTAAACATCATGCATTGAAAATGTTATGTTTTATCTGACTGCAACGAATGATTTATTTCATTATGATTAATCTGCTAAATATTTTCTCCATTAATCTATTGGTTGTTTGTTTGGTTTGTAAACATTTAACAGTAGTGAGAAATACTATCACAATTACCCAGAGCCCAAAAAGACACCTGTCTCTTTGTTTTTGTCATCTATAGAACTGGTTTTGGAGCGACAACTCCCCCTTCAGGATGAGTGATTGGACCAAGCAGAAGCAGGGAAATATCAGCGAGGGCGGAGCTTGCATGGAAATGGACCCAATAAGTAAAAGAAAAAAGAAGGAATGAATAGATCAATATAGTTTATTAATGGATTATTAATTTAAAATGAAAGAAATAATGTATTACAACCAGAATGGGCATTTATTAAAGTAAATGCGTGTGAGAGCTGTCAGCTATTAGCTGTGACTGCTACCAATGCAGCTGCAAAGTACTGCTCCATCAGCAATTTAAAATCCTTTAGAACTACCTACTAGGGCTGTCCCCAACTAAGGTTTTACATAGTAAATTGAATCTGAATCGTCAAGTCCTGCCTATAGTCGACGGATAGTCAAATCATGTGTGTTTTTGTGCGTGGCGATTGCAAGTGTGTGGGGTGGGGGGTCGTTAACACACGGTAGCTCCGCTTTAATCTTGAGAAGCGGCAGAGCTGCAGTCTCTATTCAATTAACTTACACTGTAAATTTCCAGCTAAACTGAGGCTTTTTGACGATCCTCCGCCTGCCATTCGCCGGTCTTGTACAGAGTTGCGTGCATGCTGTGCTGACGACAACTGCGTGCACGTTGCGGTTTCTCGCGTGTCTATTTCAAGTAGCCAGCTATTTAAAAAGGATATAATATTCTTTGTGTGGTTCATCAACGGTGATGAATTATCCGAAAGTCCCGCGAGGTGCGGACAACTCGGTTAACCAGTGAAGCTGGGGCTCGGTCTCTTCAGCAAGCATTCTTCTTCCTTCCACACACGCACGCTACGCGCTGACGACCCAGGGTTATGCTTACAATTTTGGATTTATTTACGCACTTTAAAAACATTTAATGAAAGTTTAATTCTTTTTACATGTTTATTTACAGCATTAAACATTGAAATGTATATTGTAATAGGTTGTATATTAACTTATTGGGAGAAAACTGGTAGTTCTACGTAAAATCTGACTTTGAGCACCCCCATATTGCCAAAATGGCATGATCCTTGTTTTGCTGCGAAGCTTCGACTGTGAGATTGACAGTCCAATCAGGCTCCGCCCATCGAAACATCGAATCTTGGACTATTCAGGGTCAGCCCTACTACAGGTTTTACCTACAGGTAAAAGAATCACATGCCACAGACTAATTCAGTTAAATATTAAAGCAGCAATCAGCGTTGGACGGATCCTCGCACGTGAATAACTTCTTGTTTTATGACGAATCATAGAAATTCCACTCCACGGACTGCCATGATCGACTCACCATTTGTATAACATGTGATCATTGATGGGATAACACTGCACAGCGAAAATTTCTGTAAAGTCGCAAGGACTAATTCTCTATGATGAGTTTCTTAAAGTGTGGAGTGTGTAAATCGCCAAATATGACAATTAAATCCAAAATGGCTGACTTCTTTTTGTTTTTTGAACCTCCTGGCATATGGAGGACTGATCCTGACAAATTCAGAAATAACTACAGAAATAAATGAATGCTCAATAAATAAATAAGCATCCAATTAAATGCACAAAAAAATAAAGTAAATAAATAAATGCAGGCAGTAATTCAATTATACAAAGAGACATAAATGTATATATCTATTTTAATTAGCTTCTTTACTTATTCACATTTGTAATAATTACCTTATTTATTTATTGTCCGTTATAATCTTCTACTTTTTTTTAAGTGTATTTATTTATGTGTGTTTTAATATTTTTGTCTGTTTTATTCTTCCGTTGCATTTTCTACCCTATTTATTTCCCCAATGGTATTTATTTCTGCCTGTCCTTTTAACATTTCTCTATGCATTTCTGCCTCATTATGCAAATGAGGAGGGGCTGTGTCTCATGGGGTGAACTTCTCCCCTATTGGTGGACCAGTCAGACAGCTATAGGCCTACTCTACCTGCACACATCAACAAGCTTGCTCCTCAGTCAAATGGCTTCTCTCAGTGCGCTTAAGTGTTTAGCAACTCTGTTAGAAGACAATACTACCAGCCATGTCTGCATCTACAGAGTTTTCAATTAGCAACTTACGGACACAGAACTATGAGGGACAAAAAATGACATGTCTATAAATAAATAAATAAATGCAGAAATAAATCAAAATTAAATATATGTTTGTAATAAAAAATGCTATTTCCGTATTTATTTCTGTATTTCTATATTTATTTATGCATTTATTTCTGTATTTCTACATTTATTTATATTTATTTATATATTTATACATTTATTTATTTCTGTATTTCCACATTACAACATATAACATGCTAATAGAGTGGGTGGTGCCAACATCAGTCTGAAGCAGGATTGGTTAGCTGGGGGCCGCATTGCAAACCAGACAGAAGCAAGCGATTCATCTACATGACACAAGCCAGCTACACAGTAGATTCCTTTAGTCAGACATATTCAGTGTCCATGTACATGGATTCTTCCATGGTTATTACAACTACAGCTAGTGTAAGATTCTTCCACTGTTGGTGTAATTTTGCGTAGTTAAAAGACTTGGTGAAAGAATTACACCGGGAAGGCCCGCCCAACTCCTTCTCTCGTATTTCAGCCTTCAACCAACCGGATTTTTTACTGCGCCCTTTTCCTCGTTGAAAGTCTGTGGTAAGTATCTCTAAATGACTTATTAAATCATTGTTTTGCATTTTAATAGAAGCAGCAATGTAGAATACTGATGTCCACTTACACTGCAGCTGGATGTATGTCTTAAAACACAGAATTCTGAAGGGCTGACAGAGTTGATGGCTAATGTTAGCTCCAATGTGCCATTAAATGGACAAGCAAAAGTAAAAAGCCTTAACTTAATCCAACCTGCTAAACTATATTTCAATTTAAAAAATAATTTAATGCAACATGACAACTGATGCTCCAGCAGCAGGACCTTAATGTAACTTAATGACTTTAGGTTCCAAGTTTCTCAAAACCTGAAAATTTCAGAGCACAACATTAAATACAGGTAACATTATCCAGTCGAGCTTGTGCTTTAATGCAGACCTCATGTTCCAAGAGTGTCATTTAAAACTGATCGAACTTGAAACATGATGAATAAAAAAACTAATATTATTAGTGATGGCACTGAAATGCGGTCTTGAACTGGCCCGGGGGCTACAGCGTAAGTTACTGTTCAGGCTGCAGCCTCTGCTGCTCTGTGTCGGCTCCTGCACACACACACAGCGGCCAGCAGAGGGCGAGGCCGCGGTGTTCACCGTTAGGCAGGGAACTCACTACACTACACTACACTACACTAGTTTACCACTGCTACGCTCGTTAGTGTAAGTATGTGCAATAAAACCTTTGTGACTAAAATTATATTACTTTACTTTTGTAAAAATGTAGAATGCGTTATTTTAATCTGCTCTCTCCTCCAGTCTCTCATCTTCTTTGTTAGCGTTACAAGCACAGCTAACGTTAGCTTGGCAATTAAAGTTAGCCAAATGTTACAAGCAAGCTAAATTAAAGGCCGTCTGTCTGTAACATTAGTCTAACTGTTTAACTTAGTTTGCCCTGTAGCTTACAATTTGGCACACTGTTGTAAACTCAGCTGCTGGCTGAAACGAACCGGCTGCTCCTCTACCAGGTAAGGTTACCTGCTGGTGTGACAGTTTAACTGGTGGCTAAATTAGCTGTGAGCACAGACCATGCTAGCTACATCAAAGCCCACATTCTCAGCTGATTTTAGTTTCTACACCCCCTGCTTCCAACTTGTGTGTGTGTGTGTGTGTGTGTGTGTGTGTGTGTGAGTGTGTGCTAAATGAGTGAGTGATATGGGACACGAGCGATGGTAGATACAGCTGTTGGATCACAAGATAACTTGAGCATGTACCAAGGCCACAGCTGACTCAATGCTGTGTTCGGAGTGTAACGTTAGCCTAAACTTCCAGACTGTTTCTGTTACGCGTCTGTTACTGTTCTCACATCAGCTCGACGTCAGATAAATAACGATACATGATACAAATGTTGACTGGTAAGATGATGTTGGTAACGATTGCAAAGATAGCGGAATGTAAACGTGATCGATAGTACGAAGCTGTATCACAGAATGACTACATTTAATCTAATAAATTTATGAGAATGAATACCCAATTATGATAATAAAATATTAATCCATAAATCTCTTGTTTTGGGGCACCACCTGAGTTTTAATTAACCCAGAGTCTTCGGACCTCTGGGTAGTGTTTTAATAATTATAAAATTATTCACTAGTGATCAGTTAGTTAATAATCGCTCAATTATCTTAAATCAATCAGTCAATCTCATATCGAAGGGGTAAATTCTCTTGGCAGGGACTTTGAGATAGGCAACACACACACACAATTCCTTGATTAAAGTGAAGTTTATTAACTAACTAAGATGATATAACATGTGGTTAAATACATCAAAGAAATAAACAATGGCTAAACAATGAGAATGTGGGTTTCTATTGTGGGAGTATTTGACTAATATAGGCAGCTAATGAACGCAAGCTATGAGTTTTAAGAGTTAAAGATAATCTATTAACAACTATCGGACATCACTGATCACAGAATGCAGGGCTTTGGTCTTACTGCGTGTCGCTTCTCCCAGCCGGGTGCTGGTCAACGGCCTCACACTGGCAGAGATCTGTGCGTTCTCAGTTAGAACAGCTTAAAACCGTCGGCCGCTTTCTCTGCCAGGGAATTGCTCTGGAGGTCTGTCTTTTGTCGGCTTATTGAAGAAACATGCAGTGGGGGCCAACCCTGGCTCGGGTTAGCAGTTTGGTTGTCCTTTGTTACTGCTGGCGGGCCCACGTGTTTGGGTCCGAGGGAAGTTAGTTTGACGGATAAGGCTTAAAAAGAACTTGGTCGTTCTTGAATTAAAACTAGTTTAACTTAACGGATGATAACTTTTAACAAAACAAAAAACAAAGAAAATAAATCAACAAGTAAAGTTGCTGGGAACGAGGGAAAAATCGATGTCGCGGCGCTTCGCCTGTGGCTTGAAAACGAACAAAGGGCTTTGTTGTGCCGGGTTGAGCTGCTTGGGGCGTTGCCGGGAGAGGGGCACGCTGGGCACGTGCCGAAGCGCAGTAGGAGAGCCCGGAACCAAACAGAGGACAAGAGAGCGAGAGACAGTGTGGGTCGCTGCTTTTGTCTGTTGGGGCGTGGTTCCCAGAGGGCAGTCCTTTGTCCCAAGAGGGGGGGCTTGTTTCCGGTTTCCCGAGAGACTGTCTTTCTTTAGACATATTAAAGTTAATAAAAAAAAATAATCTATTGGTGCGTATTGTAATCAAATATCTTCCCACAATCAAACCTCAATTGTCAAACGGTTGTAGTTTTAAGCACTTGATAAAAAGGAAAAATATTGTCAGTAGTTCAACTTTGAGGCTAGCATTTCGGAATGAATCATAAGAGGAGAAGAACTTAACTAGCTTTCTGGATATATTGGCGGTTACACGTTGTTAGAGAATATAAGCAAGACAAGCAGTGCTTTGCTTGGCGGCGGCGGTGTTGTGGCGTTCACACTACGTGACTGATCGGCGACAGGGAGTCACAAACACTACAAGAGCTGATGGCTGTCTCACCTGACACTGGTCTCCAAACCACGTTTTGTCAAGAAAACAATAGAGTGAAACGGGAAATGAGTGATTCTGCACAGGAAACAGCTGTTGTTTGTTATTATAAAGATGGCGATTATAAAGACAAAGAATCTGGTTGAAAGGATGGATTAGCACACGCAGGTAGCAGGGATTGTCTGAGCTACAGAGAGAGCTGCAGGTGAGTTAAAAGGTGCAGTTCCCCAACTCAACTCATGACTGTGAGGTTAAAACTCGCAGCCCAAAAAGGAGAACAACAAACGCACGTGTGCACATTTTCAGCTGAGAACTGCGACTTACTTTGGCTTCAACTCAACAATCAATCATGACTTCAGTTAAATGCTAAAGTTGCTGTTACTGTTACCTTGTCTGTGGTCTGCTGGCAGAACACCGGCTTCTTTCTGGTCAGGTACCGTCGTGCTGTTGCTGAGGCGACATAAATTTTGTTTTAGGGTGGATGGACATTACAGAGTTGTTTTTTCTTTAGCTTGAAAAATATTACTTACTGTCCATACTTTGCCCCTCGCTGTTTTCTCTCTCTTCCTCCACTTTGCAAACAGTTCCATCATAATCACGTCGTGTTTACAGCGTAAGCGCGATGTGCGACAGTAACAAATGTCCCTGCGAAACACTGTTCTGTATAGTTACATGGATTAAATGAAGTATCGATGCAAAGAATTTGGGTCGAAGCATTTAATGAATTGATTTTATTGATTAAATCGATGAATCGTTTCAGCCCTACAGTGCAGTAGTGCCAATAGTGAGTGCTAAGAGAGCTGTTGTACTGAAACAGAACTACAAACTAAACCTTGAGGTTAAATGTTTTTATTTTTAATAAATTGTATGGATTACACGATGTTATGGTGGTTGTTGTTTTTCCCCCTGCACACATTAAAAGTTTTACTTGGTTTAAGTGTAAGCTGGACATGCTAAAGTAGAAAATTGTAAAACACTAGATTTTATTTCAATAAGGTGCAGTAAATATTAGTGAATTTTAGCATTTGCAGGAGTCAATGAAAAGGTTTAACACTCATGAAGAGTGAATTAATAAGAGTAAATTATGAATAACAGTGAATGTTATATCTTTTTTAGTGTAGAACTTGATTTGCATTTCTTAGTCTGGTGTAGTGTTAAATGTTAACTTTACACTCTAAATGTTCAGACTTACTGCTGACTTTACTGAGTAGCTAACCTTGTACTATAGTCACACAATAACTTCAAGAGGGAGGCTGCTGGCAGACCTGCTGTGGGATGTGGCTGACCAGCTGTTACATCCAGTGCTTGAATTGAAAAAGTAGTTGCCAGTACTCCCCATTCACATGTTTGCGTGTGTATTGGTTGGCAAACACTAGGAGGAGGCTGGCTTGAAGCTTGAAGGAGAAAATTAGTGCTGTTTCTCAATCTGCATTCTTTTCTGTACTTGTGTTCTTGTGTACTGTTCCAATTCTGAAGTCCGCATAAAGCCAAGTACAGTAAATACCCAGATGTGTGCTCGCTCTGCCCGTTTTACCGAGCCTGCATCGGTGGTGACTTGTGTGGACTTCGGATCGCCAGATATCCCAGAATGCATTTCGGCGCCAAAAAGTCGGACGAGAAAACTCAGAACTGTAACTTATAATACTGCTGTTCTTGTGTCACATATAGTAGTTTTAAGAGTTTTTAATGCGGGAATATAGTTTGATTTTTCAAGACAGAGCTGATTTAAAAAATTGCTACGACGTTTTCAGAGATGTGAGGTCCCGCCCGCTAACGGGTCCGGCAGTCATCAAGTCCGCTGCTGTTCCTGCTGAATGACAGACTGTGTGCTCCCGTTCCCGGGAGTTTGTACTCCCAAGCCGAACTTGCCAAGTCCGAGCTTTAAAGTACAGAAGTCCGAACTTGGCGAACTCGGTATTGAGAAACAGCCTAGCACAGTGGCATCCTGATGCTATGCTGCAGAGGCACAACCTGAATGAGAAACTAGTATAAATTAGTGTTAATGTAATGTTATACCATTAAATAAAAAGTATACTGGTGATATACGCAATAATAAATTACTGTGATAATGCATTTGGACCACAGGCCGTGTTGCCCTGACCACTTTCTTTAGCGCTCCTAGCGGCAGCTTCACTCTCCAGTGAAGTCAAGACACTAGTAGATCTGATCACATCGCTATAACCAATCCTGCTTCAGACTGATGTCGGCACCACCCACTCAATTAGCATACACGCACAGGCATAAATAAATGTGGAAATACAGGCATAAATAAATGTGGAAATAAATGTGGAAATAAATATAGAAATAAATCAATAAATACATAAATAAATGTAGAAATAAATCAATAAATATATGTAGAAATACAGAAATAAATGCATGTAGAAATGCATAAATAAATACAGAAATAGCCTTTATTAATGACCAAATTAATTTAATTTTAATTTATTTCTGCATTTAATTATTTATTTCTGCATTTATTTATTTATTTCTTCATTTATAGATATGTAATTTTTAGTCCCTCATACAGAACTTGGCCCATTCTGCGTCCAGAACTGCCAAACTGCTGTGTTTATGTGTTTATTTCTCTGTTCCTCTCTGTGCTGGAGTTCTTTAACAACTTGGTGGCTTGATCCAGATTATTATTAAATTGGTTGAATTTTAATAAGAGTGTGTTTATTCATATAGTGTATCAAGCTTATTATGTCAATATATTTACTTCACTTTACTTTACTACTGTAGGGATGAGCACTTCAGAGATAATGATAGTAATTATATACATAAGTCTTTATATGGCTGGTCTGGTTGTATACTCTGGAAAGATTGTAAAAATGGAAGGATTTAGCCGGAGTACTGGTAATTACATATTGACAACATATTTCTGTGGTTTTTACATGGTTTGAATTTGGTTGTGGGCCCAGGGGGGTTTATATAATGATGATATACAGTAATGAAGAGGTGAATTTGTGCATTATACTTTGTCAAATAAAGCAAGCCAGGCAGCCTTCCGTGTTTGAGAACACTAGAGGGCTGCAGCGCAACAATAACCAGCCTAGTTCAAATGAACGAAATGACTCAAAAAAAGACTAGTTCATTTTAATGAACGAGACTGTCAAAAGACTCAAACTTGCCATCACTACGCATGAAGTGGTACTCTGAGGACTGTCTCTTTACCACTACGCTATTGGATCACACAGGTTCTTCAGTAACATGTTGAAGTATTGTTAAAGATAAAGTACACTTGCCATAAAAAATTAAGCTCTGCAGCTGTCCTCTGGTTTTGTTTTGTTACAGCTTGAGCAGCTGAACATGAAGATTTAAAGCATGAGTCTGCACAAAAGTTACAGAGAGAGATAATGCAAGTTGAATAATTGGGGAAGCAAAGAAGATGATCAGAAATTACTACTTGAGCTGACTGAAACTTGACTGTGGGCTAGCTATCAATGCAGCCATTTTTATCAAATGAAACAGGCACTACACTCCTGGTTTCAATAGTGAACCACCACAAGAATGACAATTACCAACAAAAAACACTATTTTTTCTTATAAAAAGACACATTTAACAAATACATAAATCACAAAGTATTTGTTTTGTATTTCAAACGAATAGGAGACTTATTTGCAAATTTTAACAAAACTTCCTGAACTGCCATGCATCATGGGAGTCTAGCTCCGCACCTGCTAGGTTGGAAGAAGAGACCCATAGGAACCCATTCATTTTAAAATGCACAAAAATATTAAAATAAAATCAACCATTACAGATATCAGCTACACAGGTAATAGCACCCATCTCATGAAGAAGATGTAAAATTTGAAGTTGAAACCAAGTTTGTAGGAAAAAACGGTACAGGACTAGTTAGCTGCCAAACAACGGCAGAATAAATAATAAAAAGCGAAGAGAACAAAAGTGTGAGAGCTACAGGTCTCAAACTAAATCTTTGTGTGCGTTTTGTGTTCAGGTGGAAAGCTGCACAGCGCCCCCTGTGGAGAGCTCAGGTTCTACATCTGCTCCACCACAGTCAGGTAGGCGAAAGTCTGATAACAATGGAGCAAGTGTTCAGGTTTCTTACTTTAAGGGACACAAAATCTGTTGAGTACCAGATTAAAAATCAACTTTACTGACAAGTAGGTTTCCACATTCATACAAGGAATGTGCTTTGGTATTTTGGTGCAAAACAACAAACATAGTAAGTAGAAGGTATAAAGAAAGATAAAGCAGGTACTGCAAGTCAAGAATCACCCAAAAAACATAAAACTGACAATAATATATTAAAAAACAAAATAAAACAAGAATAAAGAATATGTACAATATGTTATTTAAATGACAGTTTGTGCAGGGTTGTGCGACATATGTACATGGGGATGTGTAAAAATTTACAGAAGAAGTACACTATACTGTGAGGGGGTTGTGAGAGTGGGGGTCCCGGCCTTGTCAAACTCTTAATCTCTGCGTGCTTAAAATGTGGTGGTAAGCTGTTTGGAGTTTGTTTCTTCACATTTCATAAAGAATTCCAGCAGTGACAACTTTTCAGGTAAAAATGTTTTATTAGATGTTATGGAAACATCACAGTCTCTCCAATAATTGAACATGATAAGATAAACATGTGTATGAATATGTTTGTGAATAACACTGTCATTATGTGTTAACCCAAACAGTAAGTGCTTGTTTGTAATCTCCTCTGTTTATCTCCAGCTCCTTTTCTAAAATCCTCCCCAGCGACAGGAAACCAGGTAACAGTTTATTGGTTGTTGTAGCATCCCAGTACGTATGGCAAAGAAATTACTGTTGGGCCATGTCTGACTTTGGAAATAAAAGTTTGACAAAACAATCCAAAAAAGTCCACTTACCTTCTTACAGATCTTTCCCACTGATAACTTTTGCCAGTCACTAGCTGTACGATAGACTGAACACTGGAAACACTTCTTAATATAACGCAGGACTATTAAACATCACATAGCAATAACATTTAGATTTTTCCCCCTCTGTCTCAGGAATCATGCACGGTCTGAGTCTGTTTGATGTTTTGTGGGGCAACAGCTACTTGCTGGTGGAGGAGATTCGCCACTTGTCCTCCTTCCTCAAGGAGCTCCGTTCTGGTCAGCTGACTCAGCGCTGCTTCAACAACTTCATGCAGCAGGAGGCGCTCTATCTGCACAGAGTCAGCAGCACACTGGAGGTCAGAGGTTTATGATTTTGCCCAGTTTGTTTGTCTTTTTTTTGTATCTTTCTACCTGTTCATCTCTCTGCCTTTCTTTCTTCACTAAACTAAACTCTGATCCTCTGATGCTCGTCCACTCTCTTATCAGTCTCTTATCAGTCTCTCATCAGTCTCTCATCATGATTTTCAGCTCTCTCTAGAAGTGATTTTTTTCTCGTTTCCTTCCTCTGCTTCAGCCTCTGTTGGTGCCGTCTGTATGTTTCCAAGATTTTCATGCAGCAACTCTAAACTTTACACTTCAGCTGACCCTCTCTCTCTTGCGTCGTACCCTCGTTTACACCAAAAAAGTTTCATGTGCTGAAGCTCGTCAGGGTAGTTTGCTCATAGGGTTTTCTGTATGTAGGTTTTAAATTATACCGTAGATGTAGCATGTGCTTCATATGACATATAACACCTTCACGCGGCGTCGGAACCGCGTAGCAAATTCACAGCCGCACCGGCAGAGCTCCAGAATGTGCGCTACAAGTGCGAGGGCCCGCCCAACGCTGCTTGCAGCTTTAATTGTACTTGTATTTTAATGTTTTGTGAATAAACTAAACTGGACTGAACTAAACTGAACTGAGCTTGGCATCCTGCCTGTCGGAGCAGTATTATTAGATTTTAGTGCCGCCTTTGACATTATTGACCATAGTTTGCTACTAGGGAAACTCAGATGTTATGGCTTTACACCATCAACATTAGCATGGGTAGAGAGCTACTTAACAGATAGAACACAGAAGGTGTATTTCAATGGAAGCTTCTCAAAGGTAGGGTTTGTAGCATGTGGGATCCCACAAGGGTCATCACTAGGACCATTGCTTTTCTCTATCTTTACGAATGATCTCCCACTGGTCTGTAAAAGAGCATCTGTGTCTATGTATGCGGATGATGTAACACTTTATATGCCTGCACCAGCTTTAGAAAAAAATAACTGCAGCTATCAGCAACGAGTTGCAGATGGTATTTAACTGGATTACTGATAAAAAAACTTGTCCTGAATATAGCCAAGACTAAAAGCATCTTATTTATTACTAAACATTCATTAAAGACAAGACACATGTTGGATTTAGTACTAAACAATGTTGCTGTTGAGCAGGTACAGGAAACAAAGCTTCTTGGGGTAACCATAGAGTATAATTTGTCGTGGTCAAGACATATAGATGAATTGGTGAAAAAGATGGGGAGAAATATATATAAACATGTTTTGCAGACCCTAGTTCTATCACATTTAGATTATTTCTCTGTGGTTTGGTCAGGAACTACAAAGATGAATTTAGGGAAACTACAAAGGGTTCAGAATAGAGCTGCTCGTTTAGCCCTTGGTTGTCCAATAAGGGCTAATGTTAACAAAACGCACTGTAAACTCTTCTGGTTAAAGGTTGATGAGAGGTTAAAAGTATAATTTCTTGGCTTTATAAACAAAATTAATGTATGGAAAACTCCTGACTGTCTGTATAGGCAACTTACTCTGAGTTCTAATGTACATACACACCCCACTAGGCATGCCATAATTGGTAAATATATTATTCCAAAATCCAAAACAAACTCAAAACAACGCACAGTGCTGTATAGAGCTATGGTGGAATCGAACTCTCTTCCAGGTCATCTTGTTAAAACTCAATATAATATTGGTTTTAAAAAACAAGTAAAGGAATATTTCATGTCTGCTTATATTAGTAAATAGAGCCTATCATACATTCTTTTATCTTTGTATTCCTTGAAAATTTGCTGTTTTGTTGTTTTATTATTTTGTATATTTGTTCTGTCTATTGGTTGTGTTTTTTTCTTGTAATTTCTTAATCTGTGTATTGATTGTGTAGTGTGTTTTTATTCTTGTTATATGTTTTGTGTGGACCCCAGGAAGAGCGGCGGATGCATTTCTTTGCATCAGCTAATGGGGATCCTAATAAATCAAATCAAATCTTGCAGTGACAAATACTAAAACTAATAAAAACTAAACTAAAACTAAGCATTTTCAAAAAATGAAAACTAAACTAAACTAGCAAATTCACATTAAAAACTAATTAAAACGGAACTGAAATTGAATACAAAAACTCGTTATCCGGTGCCAAATACTATAGTTGTATATTTTTCCACATTACTTCACCAGCTAATGCGACCCATGTTACTATCCTGTGGACCACCTGTGTTATGTAAATGTGTTGATTCAGCCTTTAAGAAATGGTTCCAGGGGGTATGACTATAATGTTAATGGATTTCATACATTTTATGAAATAAATCATTTAAAAATCTAGATTTTATCAGATGGGCGATCCTGGGGACAAAATCTTTTCAAATGGGGGTCCATGGTCAAACTTGACAGACTTGATGTTTGCACTGCTGTGAATGTGATGTTAATTCCCAGTCTGAGGTGAACTGGTGTGACTGGGTGGAGATATAAGCATCATGTTTTTGTTCCTCCAGACCCTGATGTGTAGTTTACAGGACACAGATGAGAACACAAGATCACTGCTGCTGGACACACTTCAACACTACAGAAGCAGAAACCAGGTGAGACAGACAGGCTGTGTTTACAAAGAGCAGTTTTGCTCTCTAATAAGGAGAATGATCAGAATCAATCAGAATCAGAAACAGCTTTATTACCAAGTAATACAAGGAATTAGTTTTGGTGACTAGGTGTACAACAACAATAAACATACACCTATATAAATATAAAACTATAAAAAATATATATGTATAAAATTGGCAGAATGTGAACAAAATGTAATTTAGTTTTTGATTGTCTCCTCCTCCAGAGCCCCCTCACTTCGCCTCCCCCACAGTGGCTCCACTTCGCCCTGCAGTCTTTCCACTCTGTGGTTTTGGAGGAGCCGATCTATTGGCTGGTGGCTCTGTCGGCCCGGGCCTGCCTCCGGGACTTCCTGGCTGAGCTCAAGCCTGGTTCTCCGATGGTGTCTGGGTCTGAGGATAAGGCCTGCAGCATCTACTATCAGTGGAGTGTAGAGAGTCTGAAGGAGGTCACCTGGATTCGCAGGTACAGGGACGTGTACAGACATTTTGAGGGGGCAGGGGCTGAAGTGAAAAATAGGGCACTTCTCTTAATTGTTTATTTAATTTTTATTTAAATAAAACATTAAATATATTAACTCAATTCTGACTTCCTAACCAATTTATTTTAATTCTCTCACACTCATGCAATTGTTTCAAAACCTCCCGTCCAGACTAAAACGGCAAATCCAATACGGAGAAGTTTGAAAAAACTGCCAATCCCGTATTTGTTTTAAAACTCCAGGGTAACATTTTAGTGCATACAGGCCAAAAGAAAGGACTTTGAAAAACACAACGCAGACACTCACATTTGGCTTCCTGATTGGGTCTTACCAGTTATGCAAAGAAAAAACACTATGCTCCTGACAGTGTTTGCTTTGATATTTTTATTCAAATATTGTTACATATATTGTTAATATTGTACTTTGCAAGGACTCCCAGTCTGTTTTTTCGCCACCACAGTCTCTTTGGACTCCCATCTTACTTCAGTAAGACCTTGGTGTTGGCCCATGCAAAGAAATCTGGTTTGGTTGTTGTAGCGTGCGCATGGCCAGTGTACCTGAATGGTAACGAGATGTGCATAAATTGTGAAATGCAGCTAAAACGCTGGTGTTTATGGAGATCATTTTTATTTTAAAACATTTTTAAACACAAACGTAGTAGTGTAGATGTAGCCTGAGTCATGATCTGGGACTGTTTGAAAGAGGCATCTATCTGAGAGATCTTCAACTCACAACTCCGGCGGAGCTTTTCTAGCATCCCTGTGGAGGCTGGGACATTGAACCTCAATGGACAATTTTCAAAGCTTCCATTGCTGAAGCTACAGCGAGGAGCTGTGATCTCAAAACCTTAGGTGCCTCAAGGGGCAGTAACCCCTCGAACACTGTGGTGGACACTGGTGGTCAGGGAAGCTGTCCAACTGAAGAAGGAGGCATTCCGGGATATGTTATACTGAAGGATTTCAGAGGCAGTTGCGAGGTACTGACTGGCTCGAAGGGCTACATCTTGAAAGAGGCAAAGAGTTCAGAGAAGCCATGGAGAAGGACTTTCGGTTGGCAACAAGGTGCTTCTGGAAAACTGTCCGTCACAACATGGGGAAGGGGGATCCATCCAAGCTGTGTAAAGTAAGGGTGGGATTCTGTTAACCTCTACTGATGAGGTAATTGGGCGATGGAAGGAACACTTTGGGGAGCTCCTGAATCCCACTAACAGGTCTTCTATGGTGAAGGTAGAGATGGAGACTGATGGGGGATCATCTTCAATTTCCCTGGTGGAAGTCACTGAGGTTATGAAACAATTCCACAGTGGCAAAGATGATGAGGTCCGACCAGAAATACTTAAAGCCTTGGATGTGGAGGGGATGTCTTGGATGACATACCTCTTCAACACTGCGTAGAAGTTGGGGACAGTTCATAAGGAGTGGTGGGGCAAGAGAGTGTGTGCCAATTACAGGGGTATCACACTTCTCAGCCTTCCTGGTAAAGTCTACTCCAAGGTGCTGGAGGAGGTCTCAGCCAATAGTTGAACCTCGGATTGGATAGGAACAATGCGGATTCCATCCTGGTCATAGAACAACAGATCAGCTATTCATTCTTGCAAGGATCCTGTCTACATGTGTTTTGTAGATCTACCACCTGGGTGCCTCCCTAGGGAGGGGTTTCAGCCACATCTACTGTAGGAGGTCTCGGGGAAGACCCGGGATTAGGTGGAGAGATTATCTCCATACTTGTTGACTCCACACTGGCCTTGGAACGCCTTGGGATCCCCCAGTCAGAGCTTGTCAATGTGGTGCGGGAAAGGTCGGAGGTTTGGGGTCGCCTGCTTGAGCTGCTGCCACCGCGATCACGACTCCGGATAAGCGGTTGAAGATGAATAGATGGATAGATGGCTGTTGCTTAAGAAATGTTGACCATAAATAGTATGAATAAATGGTATTAGTTAAGAGTTATAGCTTTAAAGGAGCACTCCACTGATTTTACTCATCATGGTTAGTACTATGTAGCCTGTGAAGACTTATGGAGGCTATGACAAAGAGACAGTAATGAACTGCATTCTGGGAAATGTAGGATCCATCTAAGGGCTAAAAGTCAGAATAGGTTTGCTTCTGCTGCACAGATTTGTACTTTTCTTGTGTAAAAACAATTTGCTGTTTGCTGGATTCTCCACTGGCAACTTCTCAGAGCCGCATAACCCCCCTGTAAAATAGCAAATTGTTGTTTTTAAACTTTAAGAAGTGAGATATAGCATGTTAATTAGCTTCAGATTAACTGGTAAGTGGATTTTGTTACTTCTGTATCCAGTCTTTATGTTAAGCTAAGCTAACCAGCTGCTGGCTACCGCTCTATATTTACATATAGCGTTATCAGTCTTCTCATCCAACTCTCATCAGAAAGCAAACTATAGTATTTTGTAACACATCCTGGTATTACAGTATTCAGTAAAAGTTTGTTTACAACAGTCACTCTACTTTGAGTGTCAGTTTTCCAGTTTTGGTTTGTTTGATTTCAGCAACTTCACAGAAGATCATCCCATGCCCATGAGTCCCTCCTGACCTGAGGCCCCATGAGGCCCCAGATCTTTGAGCCAATGGGGTTTGAGCAAGAGGTTAGGTAGTTGTTTTATGTTATCCTAATTGATCATTTTTGCTCTGTGTGTCAGGTACAGAAAGGTGTTAGAGGAATACCAGGACCAGATAGACGTGTTTAAAGCCATAAACATCTTCCACGACCACATGGTGAACCAGAAGAATTTCTACAAGGCTGTGTAAGAACATATGAATCTGAGGATGCATTCAACCCGTTCTCATATCAGGGCACCACATATAGACGCTATGTCAAGACCCTTTAGCGCTGGTTTGTACTTGTAGGGCTCTGCGGTCAAATTAGCAAGAACTTTGATTAGGTTTAGTCGCCAAAGTTTAGGAAAAGATCATGGTTTGGTTTAAAATAACTACATGACTTAAATTAAGTTTTTATTTTTATATTATTATTCTGATTTGCATTGAAAATATATTTAAATTAATTATGGCATGATTTTTGAGGCAATCTGTACCAAAAAAAGATGTTTTGAGAACATAATATGTAGGCTAGGGCATCTCTGCAGCACGACAATAGTTAATTTAAAATTGTATTTTGACACATAAATCTAAAATTTTAAATGGTATTTTGACATATAAATCACCTTTAACAAATATTGTTTGTTGCAATTGCAATTTACATGGCAATTGCAAATTTGTATTAATTGTTCAGCCCTATCAACATGTGTGTTTCTGCTGCAGTGACTGTGATATAGAGGATGAAAAATTATGAAGAGGAGCAGGGTGTGTCCCCTGGTGAAGGTGAGTCACTACATCTTAAATTACATTTTCTTTTCTTATTATTTTTACAATCCAACTAATAGTGTATGAGATTACTGGATATGTAGTAGAGGTTGTAATAATAAAAACAGTAATAATAATAATAATAATAATAATAATAATAATAATGGTAATAATAATGGTAATAGTATTAACAGTTTAAGAAGTAGCATGAGTTTTTGTAAATTCAAAATACAGTTGTGAAGAGCAGAAATGGAATTAGTGGAACTACCAGTTGTAGTGATAACTAAAGTAGAAGTACATCTATTTTGAATAGTATCGAGGATGGTTCCCAAATTAAACCTCAGAAGAACATGAATATATTAATTCAGAACTTAAATTCTTAAGTCTTAATGATTGACTACTACTAGCTACTGATTTTATAACCTACTAAGCTGCTTTCTCTGAGTGAGTGTTCACGTTCATGTTTTTTGACTATGGATTTACATAGTCGAATCAGAATTGCCAAGTCCTGCCTATAGTCGACTGATCTCGAATCATGTGTATTTTTGTGCACGGTGAACTGAGGCTTATTGTTGACCCCTCTTTCTCTCTTTCTCTCTCTCTCTCGCCCCTGCCATTCACAGGTCTTGTGCAGAGTTTTTGCCGTGCTGCACAACTGCATGCACGTCACAGTTCCTTGAGGGTCTATTTCAAGTAGTGGCTGTTTAAAAATTATGGTTCATCAACGGTGATAAATTATCCGAAAGTCCCGCAAGGTGCGGACAACTCTGCACAACACTGGTGAAACTGTGGCTCTATCTCTTCAGCAAGTGTCCCTCCTGCCATTACATACGTTCACGCTACACCTACACATGGGCACTGATGACCCAGGGTTAGGGTTACAATTTAGGATTTATTTACGCACTTTAAAAACATTTATTGGAAGTTTTTAATTCTTTTTACATGTTTATTTACAGCATTAAACCTTGAAATGTATATTGTAATAGGCTGTATATTAACTTATTGGGAGAAAACTGGTAGTTTATGTAAAATCAGACATTGAGCACCCCCATATCGCTGAAATGGCATGATCCTTGTGTCGCAGCGAAGCTTCGACAGTGAGATTGACAGTCGAATCAGGCTCCGCCCATCAAAGCATCGAATCCTCGACTATTCCGGATCAGCCCTAGTTTGGTGTTTTTAAATTTGTTTTTTGTTTAATGTTGTTTGTTTTGTTTCTTGTTTTGTTTTTTCTTGTCTTCTTATGCTTTGCTAGTTTGCTTTTGTGTTTGTGGTTAATGGTGATTGCATTTGTTGTCTTGTAGGGTGTGTGTGTGTGTGTGGGGGGGGGGGGGGTTATAGGATCCTAATCCTATAAATCCTTCAATTTGGAAGAACAACGGTGTATAGGAGCACTTTGATTTGTTCAATTGATTATGCAATATAAAGAATAAAAACTATAGAAACAGAAAATGGCTGCAGCAGCTGTAAAAAAAGATATAAAAAGATAATAAAAGTGTCAAGAAGTAGTGGTAATATTAGCAGTATTACTAGAGTAGTTGTACTCTAGTAATACTATCAGTAGTAGAAGTAGTATTAGTAGTAATATATGCATGAGTACAGCTAATGTAAATGTAGTGGGGGTTAGAGAACTAGTATTAGTATTAGTAGAAGTTAAAGATATATAGATTATCAATATTACTATTATAGTATAATTGGTATTATTATTATTATTACTAGTATATAATTTTAGTAGTAATACATTAAAATATTTAACAAGCCATTTAATTAGATTTTCCTATTAATTTTTTTAGGACATTAGAGAACTCATCTCACCTTCAACTAAATCTCTCTATTTTCAGGGTTTTCCCAGACAAACAACTCTACTTCCTGTTGGCACCTGCTGGCCCAATTACACAATCGTTCACCTTGCTTGCAAACATCAAGGAGTTGAGGGACGGCACATATTAAAGCACATTACACTTGTTTAGATGCTGTTTTCTTGTGAATGTGGAGGTAAAAACTTTGGTTATCATTTGTTAGATTGAAGGATATTATAAGCTTCTTTACTGTATTTACTTTTTCTACCAACTCCACTATGTTGCTGTTCTTCTACTAGATGAAGAATTTTCTGGATAAGAGAGCGTCTGTAAAAGACTAATAATGAACAAACTGTCAATTAATTTCATCTTTATTGACCATTTAAAAAGAGGTTTAGTTTGGATTATTGTCTTACTTTATTTGACAGGGACAGTACTTATTGAAAATATGCCAGTGAACCAGAAAGGCTACTTTTCATCTGCAGTCGTATTTAAATAGTCCCGTAGTACTTTTTATAGAAAGTATACAAAGGGGATAAATTACATTACAGAAAATGTAAAGGGGACTCATTCCATTATAAAACATTGTTAACAAAATACAGCACATAAACTAAAAGAGCCAAGGTATGTGTCTCGTTTGTCCCATGTCCTTTGTCTTTTCAAGTTCTTTGCAGGTCCTTTTTTCTTGGTCCAGCAATAGAGTATAGATATATATATAGAGAGAGAGATTGTAAAGAGTCAATTATGATATAATAAATGAAAAAATAACTCATATTTATTTAGATAGGCTATTACAAATTTTTTTGTGATCATGTTGGACTGTCACTCGTTAGCGGCTCAACAGTTTTTGGAGCAGACCTATGAGCTTTTGCAGTAGAATTTGAATATTAATTTAGAATTCAGATCTGAATTTGAATCGCTCAACTTGAATAACTGCATTCAAAAAAACTGAATCTGAATAGAATCTAATGAAATTGAATTCAGTTGCAAATAAAACAAGTAAATTTTGCTGATAATACTTTTACTTAAATAAGGATTTAAATGCATAACTGCATTTTCACAGTGTGCTTTTAGTATTTTACTTATATATGTATATACTTCTTCCACCATTGATTGTGTGTGTGTAAACATGTAAATAAATACTAGTCGTTCAATAAGCCAGTCTATTTATTAGTGAATCATTATTTATAGATATGGGTTATTACTATGTAGCACTGAGGGTTTGTTGTAAATGCAAGACGTTTACTTGTAGGGGAGTATTTCCACAGTGTGTTAGTAGTACTTTCACTTAAGTAAGATAATCTGAATACTTGTTCCACTTCTGGTGCTTTTTACAGTGACAGTTATCTGAGTAAATAGTACGTATAACTAGCTAATAAGATCATTTAAACCTGAATGGATCAGGTGGGTCAGAGAGATTTTCTGGGTGAGTTCAGCACCATGGACAAACAGCGGACGACAACCTGTCTGTCCAGCACCTGCTGTTTCTTTCACTGTGAGTTACTGGATCGACTCTAAATGGGGTATTTATACATATGTCTGAATTTTACTACAAAAGGTACCGGCTGGTGTAGCTGCTAAACATTACACCTGATCTTCATCAACTGCAGAGCAAACTGGAGACATGGCAGGACTGTCAGTTCATGGCTCCTGATGTTATCCAGATGTTTCTGATCCAAGTGTTCATCCTCCCGGAGACTCGGACAGAGTTTGCTTTGTCTTTGCTCATAACTGCTCTTCATGTGTTGTCTTCATTAACTGCTTCATCCTCTCTCATCTCCTCTTCCTCTGCACGAATGGTCTCCTTATGAACAGCTCCACTGCTGGGGTAACCTCCATCACCCCAAACACCAGCTGCACATCTACAAGATAAAGACAAGGACACTAAGAGACATGTTTGATCCACATGAAGTCACAAACTGGATCATTAAGAAGGGGAGCAGATCTGCAGAGTCCACACTGCAATGTTTCACTTCAACCACAAGAGGGCGCAACGTGCTTTCTGACTGGCAACTAGATACTTAGCATTGTTGACTTTATAACACAATCTGATGATTTAGACATTTACATTTAGACAATTACATTTAGACAATTACATTTCAGGACATTTATATAAATGTCCTGAAATGTAATTAAAAAATAATATAATTAATAATTAAATAATAAAAAAAGTAAATAAACTCTGAGTCTGCAGGCTGGTATCCAGAGCCTGAGGTGTTTTGGCTGGACGGTGAGGGAAACCTCCTCTCTGCTGGACCTACAGAGACAGTCAGAGGTCCTGATGACCTCTATACTGTCAGCAGCAGAGTGACTGTGGAGAAGAGACACAGCAACAGCTTCACCTGTAGACTCCAGACCAGAGAGACTCACATGTTGCACCATGCTGTTCTGGGATTTATCGTTTCAGTTTATATCTTCTCAGTCCTGTCGAGGCATGTAAGAAGTGTCTTGGCTCCAGGATGTATGGGTCTTGTGTTTATTTATTTTTTTTATTTCAAGATACCATCACTACTTGTCTCTGTGAAGGAAGTTAGAGGTACTATGACACAGGTTACCTCAGGTCATGATAGAATCAATTGCTGAGCTAACGCTACGACAAAGCTGACAGCAAGGGACAAATCAATAGGTCAGACTCTGTCATTCCTCTCTGCCTGTTTGGTCAATTGGCTGAAGGAGCTGTCTTGATAAGGATGTACTGCTATCCATTTGTTTGTTAACCCAAGGTCGAGATTATCTTTGTTTCATTACAGACTGACTGGCTCTCTGTATAAAGTGTCGCATATGGCTTGACTGACACACAACATGTCTTCATATGAACGAATAACCAATAGACTCTTCACACATGTAGAGAGGGGTGAACAATAACCTTATTTGAACACTTAGTGAATCTCCGTGGGTCTAGGAAGGATACATATCCCCAGACATGAAGTCCACACTTTGTATGCTGGCAATCTCATCTCCTTAGCCAAGTTTCATTAAACAATACTGTGTAAGTCTTCATCAGTCTCTGAAACTTCTTCATCACACCTGGTTCACATTACTGTTATAACAGTTTCCTTCTTTTATTGTAATGGACAAAAACTTTGTAAACAAGTTTAACTCTTATTCTGCAGCAACAAGCACGACTGAGGATCTAAGCAACTGAGAGTCAAGCATGTAAGAAATGTGATTTGGTCAGTAAGTAACTGGAAGCCTGAGTGATCACTGACAAACCAGTAATGTGCATTAGTCAATCAGAGACTTTACTCGTTTAAAAGCGGCAGCTCTGGTTTGTTCAGTTGGTAAACAACATTTTATTTTGACAGCAAGGCGTGGTTCCAGTCATTCATCATAACAGTAAACACAGGTTTCTTTTAATTTCCTTAAGACTATTTATTAGAGACTTGCTATTTTGTCTGCTATAATAAAACTGATTTTACAATCTTGAGTGTGAGTTAACACTTTAATTCAATAATAATTAACGTATTATGAACTTTTGATTTAACGTTTTATAACTAATAGTAATACCAGTTTATATCAATGTGCGGCAAGAATCTCCGCCCATGTTCCATAACACATTATAATCACCGACTCTGCCTAAAAAAATACACTTTAGTCACCATTTAGAATTAGTGATATAAAATGGAATAATAGCTTATAGTAATGTTTAATGTTGTACAGCACGTTTTTGTTTGCTTTAAGTAAAGTGTTAAAATATCTATCCCTGTATAATATATTATGAACTAATTATAAGACCTTATAACACGTAATTGGTTGCTCGAAGCCATACGTTAGTGACTGTCCCAGGGGACGGAACATCTGGCCAAGCTGATCTTCTGTTGTAGTTCTTCTCTGTCATTCTCATTTATTAAACAATTATTTAAAGGCAGTTTGTTGTTACTCAATTACTGAGTCAGTCCCTCATCAGGAATGTAGAATTTCCACTAAAGGAAGTACATGTCATTCCATCTTTGGACAAAGGATTTGCACATACTTTGACACATCACCAGGGATCAATCATAATCATTCATTTCATGTTGGACAGAACAGCAGAACATCAAACTGGAGAGTCATCATTTGTCTCACGGCAGGTAAGAGTTGCTTTTTAAAGTAAAACTTGTTTGATATCTCAGAATTTTATAATCTTTGAAGTTAAATCAATGTGCAGATTATTTTATGGAGTTAAAAACAACTTCTCTGTGTTGTTTATGAGGCTCATTGTAGTCTAGATAAAGTGGACTTTCATTGTTCTTTGGACATTTTGGATATTTCACATGTAAAAATGTTCCTGTATATTCTTATTATTATAAATTTTAATAAGAACATTTGGATATTTTAAACTCTGTTTTGCACTCCAAGTCAAAACTATTGATATTAATGTGTAAAAGATGATGAAGTGAAAGATTACACGTTTTTATACTTCAGTGGTAGAAGAAGTACTTTTACTTACTACTGTATATAAGTAAATGAAGCACTACCACAAAAAACATAGTCCTTTATTCAGTATTTTACTAATTTAAAGAAATCGACTTTAAGGATAAAGTACTATTAGCAGTTAAGGGTAGTATAAATAACTGTTAAAAGTTCTTCTTTTGAATAATAATTAATTTCCTATTAAAAAACATGTGACAGCTGTTTCTGAGGTTGAAGCTTTTTCTGCTGAATGAAAACTTTGTCACAACACACTGAATTAGTTCAGAATGGCTTGTTCAAATGGTGAAATTTTATTGGTACATATATTAATTCAGTTCTGTTCAGGCAATCAGCAGGGTATAGGGGCAGTGCAAAAACAGGTTTCATTTGGTTGAGGGTTAAATGTGAGGTAATGCACACTCTTAATGCCACTTTTTATAATTGTAGCTACTTCACTATACTTTTCTCTCTTGAGGCTAGATGCCCAAACCGGATTAAGACTTTCAGTCCTCCTTTAGCCACTCGCACTCCTCTGTCACTTTTCCTCTGTGCTGCTTTTGTTTCTTCTTCCTCCAACTCACAGGTGTGTCTGACTTATCTCCTCATATATGTCAACTTCCTTTTTGAAGTTTAAATGAGCTACTCTGTTTTCTTTAATAATATAATACTAATCAATTCTATTTATACAGCACTTTTTTTTAACAAGGTTACAAAGTGCTTTACAGAAACAAAATAAAAAACAGAGATCATAAAAAACAGAAGATAAAATAAAGTAAAAATTAAAAATAGAATATATAAGTATATAAATAAATAAAGTAAATATTAAAAATGTCTCTGCTATAGTGTAAATATATGTGTGTTACAGGTAAATGATGTTGTGTCTATTAGTTCCTCTCGTCTTGACTGTCCTCCTGACTGAGACATCTGCTTCACTGTCATCTTCAGGTAAGAAAAACAGTAAGATGGAGATTCCTGTCAGTCACATTAAAATAATAATGACATTTCTCGTCTCCACAGTGGCTTTGTTCATTATACTGAATAAATATGTAATTCAAATGGCTTTTTCAAATTTAATACTTAAATAACGTGTCAGCAGGGACGGAGCAGGTCTTTTCATGCCCACCTCGGTGGCTCCTGTTTGGTCAGAGATGCTTCGCTTTCTACCCTGTGTGGAGCTCCTGGAGCATGCCGATGTAAACTGAAGATATAACACATTTAAGTTTATAAAACAGAAGATTCAGTATTACATGGTTTTGATGTGGTTTTGAGTGTGTGTGTGTGTGTGTATGTGTGTGTTAGTTATTGTGCTCTCAGGCTGCTGGTAAACTGGCGTCGCTTCACACACCAGAGGAGAGGCAGTTTGTCCGTCTGCTAGCAAACACACACACACCTGTGTGGCTGGGTGGATACCAGGAACAGCAGGTATGGTGTCTGTGTCAGCGTGCTGTGCTCTTGTTTTTTATATTTATTTAAAAACCCTATCCAGTGGAGGAGAAAGTATTCAGATCCTTCAGTAGGAGCAGAGCTTGACTGGGACAAAAAATTGGCCCTGGCATTTTTGGCCCACCAAAATTAGTTGGACACCTGGGGTTGCCACCTTCAATAAAGAAAAATAAGGGACGCCTGCCGGAGCGGGGGCCACACCCCTTGGGGGCTCTGCAATGACAGGCCTGATGGTGGGCCAGTGGTGGTATATCATAACTTGGTCATATTGTCATAGCTGAACACACAACTATGAAAATATTAAACATAGGCCAACAATGTGTGACAGCAAGACCACAAAAATAGGATGTGAACTGTATTTTATTAACTTATAAAATCAACATGTCCATAACTTATTAACTATAAAGGTTAAAACAAATGCTTTGATACAATTTGATTGAAAAGACTTTGGCAAAATTATTTATCATTGTTTGCAGTAATACTATCCAAACAATGAAACCACACATAAATAACCTATCTACAAACATTTCTCAATTTAATTCAACGGCATTTTTATGATTGGTCAGTCAATATATTTAAGTATTTATTTTTTCATGGGATGCTGCATTAAATACAACTCAGAAAAACATATTGATTCCAATTCCAATATTTAGTTCTTAAATAAGGGATGATTCCATATTTTAAGCGACGGGGGGGCAACACTATGGACACCCCTCACAATACACCGTGATTCCAGATAACATGTGTACCTACTGTAATATTTCCAGCTGAGTATTATGTTCCCTGTACAGGGTTGGAGAGTAATGGATTACATGTAACAGCGTTACGTAATCAGGATACAAAAAAGAGTAACTGTGTTACAGTACAGAAAACAATGACATAATAAGATTACAGGAACAATTTGAAAATTCTGTGATTACTCATAGGGATTAGGCTACTTTAAACAGAAAGCTTCCAGGAAAGTGAATCTGCCTCCTTGTGTGTGACAGGTGTGTAACAGTATGTAACAGCATGCCTGTTTCTGTAAAAACACAAAGCTGGGGAGGGACGTGTGGCAGACATTGATTGGCGTTTATTATATCAATAAGTAGCACCGAATGTGTGTTAACCTTATATTGACATCAATATTCACAATTAAGTTGTTACATAACTGTTTGATAATCCAGTGTGACTACTTACCTGCCGATGGGGCAAATTGTCACAAGTGCACACTCTCTATTCAACACTCCATAATGAGATAAGATATGAAGATGTAATGAATACAACACTTCTGCCCAAGACTTCAATCTTTCATTTGGTATGACATTTGTACCACTGTGATGTACGGTGCTCAGTAAATATTAGACACTGTGAAAAGTGTGACAACATACCCCGCTCTGCCCTATTTCTATCAGTTTATATATAGGCCTATCAGGTCGGGAGATGAGACTTTGTCAGTTCAAATGCCCTCTCTCCCTCTCACTCCCCATATCTGCGCAGCGTCATGCACATTGGCACACCAAACTAACAGACAGGCAACAGCTCCTCCCAGCTCCTCTCCCAGGTGTGTTTGTCTTGGCTTGTGTGGCATTGAGTGGTGATGAACAACAACGACTAATCTACTAGTGCCTCTAGTTAACAGCTCATTGGCCAAAAGACAAATACAGGTAACTTGTGACCTGCTAACATGCATGACTCATGAGCTACTTGCTAATGTAATAAGTTTAGCTCAGTCAATATATCCATACAGGCTAATGTAGCTACTGGACTTAATTGAGACACTACAGGTGAATAAAGTAAAATCATAATGTCAACACAACTGCCACATTGATATGCAAAGTAGGCATTATTTGCATACATTTGACAAGGCACTGCAGGTGAATAGGATAAACAAAATAACTAATGCACATCACCACAGAATGTTTCCAGCTACTGACTAACATCAAAGGTCTTTTCCCTGAAATGTTGGTTAAATATGCAGATTAGCTGGTTTTGGTTCATTTAGAAGAAATCTACAGATGCAAACAGACGGAGGGTAGAAGGTTTAAAACAAACAACATCTTAATGTGAAGTTTGGAAGTTTTCTTTCCATTTCAGTAAAAGAAGACAATGGAAGCAAAATAGGCTGACGTCTCAAAATTGATACATGAAAAAAGTGTCCTGCCTTAAACAGCAGGCTCTAGATAGCCCTCCCTCAAATGTGAAACTAAAGCATAAAATCCACTGACTCTGGCTACGGCGCGTTACAGCTGCGCTGCGGTTGCGCTGCAGTTGCCAGAGGTAATCGCGGCAATTATAGTTAATGCTCGTGGGTCCACCAGATTTGGCCGCAGCACATCCGAGAAGTGTCCCAGAAGAGTCCCAGTGGCTCTCCACTGTGCTCCGCAGAGAATAGGGTAGGTAGCAGGTTTATTTTTGATTTAGCAGCACAGAGCTGATTGAACCAGGCAGGAAGTCAGACACAGCACTGCATATAGAATCCGGTCAATTTTTTAAAATAAAACTCCTGATTGTAAAACAAAAATAAACATAGTTAAAACAGACACAAAACGGTGTCACCAATTAACCTAGTCAGCATGTCTTTGGACGGAGCACCCGGAGAGAACCCATGCAAACTACACACAGAAAGACCTGGAACGACCAAGGTTCAAACTCAAGACCTCATGTTAACCACTGGACCACCGCGCCGCCCCACACAGGAATCAGAGTAATTTATTAAGGATTAAGACAAATGCACCAATTCCAGCACCCAGTACTAATACTAATTCAAATGGCACTCATCAATGTGAGATCACTTTCAAGTAAGCCTTTTATTTTAAATGATTTTAAATTTGTATGCAAATCTAGATTTTATGTTTTTAACTGAATCCTGGTTGCAAACTAATGTCTATAGCTAGCTAGCTGAACTGTGTCCGCATCAGTTTTTCAGCAAAGCCAGGGTCAGTGTTCGTGGTGGGCTAGTGAGTCTGCTCAGGAAAAATTTTACTACTACTCTGTGATGAATTTACCTCCTTTGAAGTTCTCACTTTTAAACTTGGTGGCCTGCAACCAACCATATTTGTTGTAATTTATCGTCCCCCAATGCTATGGATAAGTATACCAGAGCAAGTAGATCAATGTACTCATTTGCACTCATTTACTAACTCCATGGTGATCAGAGGTAGCCATGGAGTACACAACTCATACTCAAGTACAAGTAGCCTACAAGTCATTTTCACAGCAACATTGGATTACCAACGCGATGCTGACAAAATAAGACTGCATTTGGAAACTGTGCTAGCTATAAAAACAATGTCAAATAGTTTATACAGTGCTGTATGACAGAGAGTGATCATCAGCAGTAGGTGACAGTCTCACTTTATGATAGTGTTATACAGAGAAGTACTAAAACACATATACAGCTGGTCCAGAGACCTGTTGCCAAATGCAGCTTCGGTGTCTGGCCCCGAGCAAAGGGATGCATAATCATTTACACAGTCTTGGTTTCTATGTTTTGAAGAGAGATCCTCTCCCAGCCTTGAATGAACATTCAAGGAGAGGAGAGGAACAATACGAGGGGGAAATCACCAAAACAATCTCACAGCTCTGACCTAAATTCTTGTAAATGTGGACGGACTAACATAAGGAGTAAAGAAGAAGGAAAGGTTAAGGATAAAAACACAATACATATATGTCTATGAGACATAACAATACTAGTAATAATAATAGTAATAATAATGATAATATCAAAAGAACATACATAAAAGATTAAATGTAAGAACACACAATTTTCTGCTATAACAATCCTCCCTCCGGCTATATATGGACATCCAGGTACAGAAAATTGACAATGGAAAATTAGCCTTGGTTGACTTTGCAGGACATAGACATTGTTAAACTATGAACAAGCAGAGGATCAAACATATTTTTATTTGTGCTCATCCTGGATGAGAACCTTTGCTGTCAAATATCATGTATCACATATTCATAACTGATCCTGTGGGACTAAACAGGGTAATCTACAAAAGCTACAGGTTTAAATGTTTCTTTGCAGGACTACTTTTGAGACCTTTGTTTTGAAAAAAACAAACAAAAAAACTGTTGCCTGGTTCCATCAGATAAAAGCTTCTCCAAGTGTGTGCGTTACTAACCAATCTAGTGGTCCTGTCACCAAAATGGAATTAATAATAATAATGGTTTTTATTTGTAATTAATTCTCTAACATGAATTCTATTTGTCTTTCTAACAATCATATGTTAATATCTCAATATTTAACAGTCACAAGCTTTTATGGTTCATTGTACTAAAAGTACATCATACAACCACATCAATAGAGACTTTATTCAAATCCGGCTGCGATTTGATTTCTTACTTTAAACTCAAACTAAACGCCCTCGGGGCATCCTGATGGCATCAATGTACACATTAGGATCAATAGAGGACAAGTCTGGAATGGAGCATTTCTGCCTGTGAGGCGGTGAGGCATCGAATGGCATGATAAGGACATCCAATGCCAATACTACTCTCGCGCATGTATCTCTCCATCCTTCCGGCAGAGTTTGGTACAGCCGGCCACTCCCGCGGGACCAATAGGGGTCAGAGATGGCACGGACTTGGTGTGATAGCATGTCAGCACTAGGCTTGTATGCAGTGTGTCTTTGTTGTTGTCTACTGTGCATTCAGTGGTGCATTCCTAGGTGTGTGAGTACACACCAGGGAAATGCCCCACCGACTAACTATCCGTGTGAACCTTTGAATGAGTTTCACCTCGGTGAAAAGATTCAAATTTGATGTCTGTCGCTACTGTGGTGTTTTGAGGAGCTGGTTTGGCGGTGCAAGGAGTGGATATTTAGCCTAAGTTTCTAACAGGGCCGTGTTGATTTTGTAT